CCGCCCGCAGCCGCGGAGCCCGCCCCAGCGCGCGGGGCGGGGCGGAGCCGCGGGGGCGGGGCTAACCGGCCCCCTACTGAAATGATTCAAACTGAGAACACATGTGCCCTTAGATTATTGCAGGAACACAGCATCATTATACATTATTTGTCATTTTACTAATGCTTTCTTAAATGTTTATTTTTTTACGGCTGGCTGGTCTGGGGAACTGAACCCATGACCTTTGTGCTAAAAGGCTGTGTTCTAACTAACTGAGCTAACCAGCCAGCCTTAAATTTTTATTTTTATTTTTTACATTATTTTATATATTTTTCTTTCATGTCCATTTCCTAACACATAAATTTTTATTTTTAATTGACACATAAGAATTGTATATATTTATGGGGTAGAGGTGCTGATAATAGTTTACATTGTGGAATATTCAGTCAAGCTGACTTATGGATCACCTCACCTGCTTATCTTTTTTGTGGTGAGAACATTTCAAACCTACCCTTTTAGCAATCTTTAAATGTACAATGCACTGTTATTAACTACAGTCACCCTGCTGCGCAGTAGGTCTTAAACTGGCCTCTCTTGCTAGCTCCCCCGTGTCTCCCCACTCCCTGTGCTCCTCCCTGTCTCTCTACTTTTTGTGCCTCTCCAGCTCCGTCTCCCTTTGTCTATTCGCACCTCTTCCTCCTCTGACAGGCTCTGTGTCTCCCTATTGCTCTGCCTCCCCCGGCCCCCGCTCCTCTTCTGCCCCTGACTTTGGTGACACAGGAACAACTGAACCAGGGAAGGTTGGCTCTGGTTTCCCAAAGTTGGAGGGCTTGCAGAGCGGTCATGGAAAGGAAGGGGGTCCTGGGGCTGGGGTCTGGAACTGCCTATGCGAGGAGAGGAGGAACCCCTTTGGCTGGAAGGTCAAAGGTCAGGTCTCCACCAAGGTGAAGAGAATGGGCTGCCCTCAGGGCATAGACCTGTGCTGACCCTGAACTTAGCTCCTCACAGGCTTGGGGGTAACCTGCAGATGCGCCTGCCTGGCATTGCCTTCCCTTGGGGCTTGGCAGGGGGCTTTTTACTGGTCTTCACTTCTCCTTGCTCTCTACCTCTAGGTTTCATCTTTTTTTTGGCCGCTGACTAGTACAGGGATCAGAACCCTTGACCTTATAACACAGCGCTCTAACCAACTGAGTGGAACCGGCCAGGCCTAGGCTTCCATGTTCTAACCCAGTGGAGAGATCTGTCCCTGAACTGGTACCCTTTCCTCTTTGGCTTTGTTCACCTCCCTATGTTCACCCCAGTTCCCCATTACCTATCGCCTATCCCAGCCTGTCTGTGCAAGGGTGAGCCTCAAGTCACTTGGAGACTGGTTCAAAATCCAGAGCCTGGTACTTCTCCCAGCCTTGGTTCTCTCAGTGTGGGTTGGGCCAGGGCAGATTGAGTTTTGAAAAACTCCCAGGTGATTTTATGTTAGAACCACCGACTAGTTCAGAAACAGTGGTGATTTACTATGTATATAGAGGCTTTGACTTTCTTGTCACTCACACACCTGCAAACCACCAACTTTGTTCTTTGTGTTTCTGGTTCTATATATTCACTATGTGTTTCTATTTGTTTGTATTGATTACTGGCTTATTTACCAATATCTGTCTGTAGCTGACCATATCATTCATTTAGCCAACATCCAGCCATGTCTCAATATACTTATATGTCACTTCATTCATTTATTCAGTAACTCACATTGAGCACCTCTTATGTGCCAGGCACTGTTCTAGGCACCAGAGATGCAGCAGTGAACAAAACAAGCTCTTCCTCTCATGGGAAGACAAATATGTAACTTTTCAGGAGATGAGTCCCAGGAAGGAAAACAGAACAGGGTAAAGGGGAGAGAGCAGAACAGTAGGTGCTAGTTATTGCTGATCTTCCAACTGTACCAGTGTATACATTCATCTATTTTTCTACCTTTCCACTTGGCAATTGCAACTTTTCTAAGCAACGGCCAAAATGTCCTGAGCTCATGCCAGGCCCAGCACTGAGCACTTCTAAGTGGACAATCACCTAAGATCCCCTTAACAGTTCAGAAACCATCATCATCCTGATTTTAGAGTGAGGAAGCAGAGGTTCTGAAAAGTTAAGTGACTTGCCCCAGGCCTTCACTTTTCAGTCAAGAGAAAGTGTGGATCTGACTCAGGACCCAGACAGTCCTACTATGGAGACTCCTCTCCTCCACATCTGGCTCTGATGCCTCCACTTCTAGCTTCCTCTTCCTTGGCCTCTTTGGCTGCCATTCTCCCCTCTCTCTTAGATTCCTGCCACCCTGAGTCAAAGATGCCAGCTTCCCTCTGGGGTCACAGCCCACACTGTTCCTGGAATACTCCTTCCTCTCTTCTCTGCCCAGCTAATTCCTGCTCATCCTTAAGGTATCTGTTTGGAAGTCCCTTTCTTTCCGGAGCCTGTTACCTCCCCATGCAAGCCCAGGTGTCTCCTCAATATCCCACATTTCCAGGGTTTCCCCAATTAGAGTAACTAGCACATAAGACTGCAATTAAGTATCTGCCCCCCACCCCCACGACAGATATGAGCTCCTTAGGGGCATCGCTTATGCAACGGTACTCCAAAAAGGTCATGGAAAGATACGTATTATCTTTCAATCCTATTTTTCCACGAACTTTTTCAAGTACCCTCGTATTGTCTCTTGGCCACCACTATACTCTTATGTCCCGCCGAAGTCTGTCACACAGAACATATTAGTTGTTGAATGAATTAAGGAATGCGACTTTACTGATAATTACAATTTAAAAGCTGGGTTATGCCAGCGCTTCGAAGTCATGAAAGGGCTGCCACACCGTTTGCTTTCGATCCCCACCAAAGCCCTGCGACTCGGCAAGGAGAGAATACCATCCCCACTTCACAGCGAGATAAACCCCAGAGAGTTGAAGCGGTAGAGCTCGACTCCAGCTCAGGTCTGCTGATTCCAGACCTAGTATTTAGTGTAAGGCACAGTTGGGGGGGCCAGACTGAATCTCCCTGACTACAATGCTCAGAGGGATAACTCTCTGGAAGGGGAGATGTGGCGCTTTTGCAAATCCAGAGCACGGTGGAGAGTGGCATTAAGAGGCTGCTGTCGGAAGTCAGAGGCGGGGGCATTTGAAAACGGGCGCTTAGGGCCGGCCCGTGGCTCACTCTGGAGAGTGCGGTGCTGATAACACCAAGGCCACGGGTTCGGATCCCTATATAGGGATGACCGGTTTGCTAACTGGCTGAGCGTAGTCCTGACAACACCAAGTCAAGGGTTGAGATCCCCTTACCGGTCATCTTTAAAAAAAAAAAAAAAAAAGAAAGAAAGAAAATGGGCGCTTGAAGAGCGGAAGGGATTTGTCTGTGTAGGGAAGGGCCCGGGAAGAGGAGCCAAATAGGAGAGACTAGACTGCTCCGTTTTCCTGCCAGAAAGCCCGTTCCAAGCGTGACTGCTCCGCCTCAGCCCCTTTAAGAGTGGCTCCGCCCCACTCGCCACATGTGTCAATCTAATCCCAATGGCCAATCATAGGAGAGGAAAGAGCACTTCCGCGCTTCAACCGCACTAGGGGGTGGGTCAGAGAACGGGAGAGGAGGGACCAACCTGGTCACGTGACATGTCCCATTGGCCCGAGGCCGTAGAGGCGTGGAGCAGATCGGCGACGCTCATTGGTCAGAGAAAGATTAAGCCCGGCGGGAGGCCACGCCCTCGGGCTGCCGTGGGTTTGGTTGCGCGGCCGCAGGATAAGGAGACGCTGCCCTTCTGAGGCGATGGGATCCCGGGTGAGTGGCGGCCCGGGCTGAGCCCGCCCAGCGGACGGACGGCGCGGCGGGTCTTGGGGCAGAGGCTTGCGAGGGACGGCGGCCGGGCCTGCGCGGGGCTCTGGGCGGGCTCAGGAGTCTGAGCTCAGCCGAGCCGGGAAGGTGCCTGGGTTGGAATGAGTAGGTACCCGGGCCGAGGGCGGCGCGAGAGGGAACCTTGCTTGGGGGTGGAACGAGAAGAGACCTGGGTCACCGACGAGGTGCCCGGGCCTGGGACGTTGCGGGGATCAGAGCAGGGGCGCAGGTACTCAAACTCGAGGTGGGAAAGTACCCGGGATGGAAGGAGCAGGTACCGGCCGTGGGCGGTGCCACTGGGTACCAGGACGACCCTCAAGGATTTTCCTGGGGTCAGGGCTAGAGCGGAAGGGGCCTGACCCGGGGCTGCGCAAGATGTCCAGGGGGAAATGAGCAATTTCTGGAGGTCGGGATATTGCGCGGGATACCCAATGCTCGGCCGGGTGGGACCGATGAGGTGTCCTGGATGGGGTGAACACGAGACTGGGCAGAGGGTGGCTCACGGGAGTGTCTGGGCCAGGAAGGTTACTGGGGTCAAGGTGGAATGGGGGTGTGCTCAGGCCAGAGTCGTTAGTGGGGTTGTCCGGGGCAGTTGAGGAGGTGCCTGGGATGGAAAGCTTGGGAATGCAGGCCGAGGGTGTTGTAAATGCCATGGTGGGGGTGGAATGAGGAGGTGCTTGTCCAAGCTTGCAGGGCCGGAGAGGTGACCGCTCAGGTGGGGTGAGGCCCTGTGCAGCATTAGAAATGTCTAGGTGGTGGGAAACATTGTGAGCTTTGCATTGTGGAGAAGAGGTGGAGGCTTTTCTCTTTAGGCCCTGGGTCGTTCCAGGAAGACAGACAGGCCGTGGATGGGCTGGATTGGATCCATTTCTGGAGTGAAGAAGGCTTGTGAGGCAGGTGTTGTTACCTTGCACCTGCTGCTCTTCCTCTCAGTGGGGACAGCAGAGGTCTCTCTGGACTGTCCTGGAGACAAATGCCAGGCCTCAGTCCCCACCTCCCAGCCCTGTCTGACTCCTGGAGCATGTGTTTAGGCTCATCCTTTTAACTCCACATGGGCTTCTTACCTGGGGGCCCACAAGTCCTTCAGGTGTGGCATGGAGGTGGCATTTGTAGCAGGCAGCAGCCGGGAAACACCACTATAGCCTTGGGATCCTGCAGAACTGGGGTCACATCCCAGCGTGGCCACTTAGTGATCTCGATCACGTTGCTCACCTCTCAGAGCCTCAGTTTCCCTATCCTTGAGATAGGTCATCATGAGGTTCTGTCAGTGACTAGACTCCAAGCTTTTAGTGGAAGGCCTGTTCTGAACCAGTAAGTGCTTGGGAAATAGTAACCGTGGATCCTCTGTTATTGTCTTCCCTTGTTCTGAGTCCTGAGCCAGGCTGGGGGCAGGAGGAGTAGCATGGAGTGTTAACCTGCTCCCTGACCACTGGAGGTCACACAGCTCAATTTGCAGCTTCCTGGCAGGATGTCTCCTACTCTTTTTGTTTTTTTTTAAAAGATGACCAGTAAGGGGATCTTAACCCTTGGCTTGGTGTTGTCAACACCATGCTCACCCAGTGAGCTAACCTGCCATCCCTATGTGGGATCCGAACCCATGGCCTTGGTGTTATCAGCATCGCACTCTCCCAAGTGAGTCACGGGCCAGCCCATCCTACCCTTGATAACATGGCAGTTTCCCTAGCCCTGGAACATACCCTGCCTGCCCTTCCTCTCACACACGCCCCCAGCCCTAAAGATAGACTGATAAGATTGTCCCTTCATCCCACTCACTGGGGATAAGCTCTTTCTTGTCCCAGCCCAGTGACTTTGGCTGTGATCCCAGGGAGACAGGGTCTGTCCTGGCCTGTGTATTCTTTCCACTTGAGGTCCCAGGAGACATTGAAGGCATCTGTGGGCTTGGTGCTAGCAATTGGAGAGCACCCTGCAGGGTCTCGGGGTCTGGACTATGTGTGATCAAACCATTTGTTTCCTTGCCTTGGGATGGGGCAATGAGGTACCTGGCAGGGGGATCTCAGAAGTTGCGGGCGGAAAGCTGCCCTTGTAACCTGTGTTCTGCTGTGGCTTGCCACTTCCTGCTCTATGTCAACTTTAGCAAAAGAATTGCTTGGACCACAGTCTAGAATCCGATAGACCTTGGTACAAATCCTGACTCCACCACATGCCAGGTGTGACTTTGGACTTCTGACTTAGCATCCCTGAGACTCAGTTTCTTCATTGGAAATTGGGGTTGGGGGTCGGGGAGGAAGGTGGATAGCATCTGCTTCACAGAATTGTAATGATTCAGTGAAATAATGAATATAACGGACTCAGCACAAAATACACACATAATGTATAGTAGTTGTTATCTGGAAAATACCCTGCTGTTTTCATAATACAGTCCATAGGAAGTAAACATTCTTGCCTTTGTAGGAGATGAAAAAGATGTAATGATTCTTAGTCTGGGGCCTGAGATTTTTATTTAGCAAATGGCGCATGGTTTTAAAAGGTTGGGAAAGTGTGGCATAAAGCCCCAAGTTTTAGAGTGACCTCTGCATTTCCTAGGCCCTGGGTCCTTTCTTGGGCCAGCATGCCAGAGATGCTGCTTTCCGCTCCTGGGTTCATGGTGGCAGGGTGTCTATGGAGCATGGGGCACTTGCTGCCTACTGGCAGGTGTTTGGGGCTGGGGCCTGAATCCAGGCCTGGTATTCTAGACATAGGCTTTGCTCCCATACCACCCCCCCCCCAGGTGCATTCTAATGTGCATCTCTGTGTGCTCATGTGTGCTCGTGCTTGTGTCTGACTTGGTCATCTGTCTCTCAGTTCTGTGGAGGGACCCTCTGGTATGTGCATCCCTGTCCTTCTGGGGTGTGGACGGTGCCCAGGACCCAGCCAGTAACCAGTTGAAGACGTTCTCCTTGGAAGCTCTTGGCCACAAGGGCTCTTGTCTGGGGTGCTGGTCCTGCCATGGCATTCCGGAGGACTGAGGGGATGTCCATGATCCAGGCCCTGGCCATGACAGTGGCCGAGATCCCTGTGTTCCTGTACACAACATTTGGGCAGGTAAGGATTGGGGTGGCTTGTGGTTCTGTCCTTTACCCCTCTGGCCCATAATATACCAAGCTGCCTAGCTCAGGGTCCCTCAGCATCCAGGAAAGCAGGGCCCTCATTGTTGCTGTCCCTGGTGTCTGGCTCTCCTCGTTGAGCAGGATAAGAAGGACTGGGTTAGGAGTCTGGGGCCCCAAGCCCAGTCTTCACCCTAAGACTATGTGAATGCTTGACCTCAGTGTCTCAGTCTATAAAAGGGGTCAATAACACCTTCTCTGACAACCTCAAATGTTTGTGGCTGACTGGGCCTCTTGACCCTTCCTAAAGCTCTGCCCTGTGGGATGCGGTCCCACCTGAAGGGCTCCCAGTCCAGTGGAGCAGTGGGAAGTGTTTGGATGGGATGGTGGCGCCGAGTGAATGCCATTGTTTTTGAGGAGTTGTTGAGAAATGGGGGTCAGCAGACCTGGGTTTGATTTCTGTCTTTCTTGCCAAATTTGCCTGTGTCTTAACCTGCACGAGCCTCAGGTTTCTCATCTGGAAAATGTTGGGGATTCAGACAGAGAGCACAGGTCAAATCTTAGTGCAGGGCTCGATTGCTGCAGCTGTTATAACAGTGTTGGGGACGCCTGCGGGACTGCAGACCTCATGTCCTCAGCATTGGCATTCTGCCATCTTTGTATCTCTGTGATCCTCCACATTTCAGGGAGGCTCTGGCCAAGACCCTTCTCTTGAGTGGCCGCTTCTCTGTCACTCATGTGGTCAGCAGATGTACTCTGCGTACTAGATGTGTGCCCTGCACCTGGGTGCTCCTGGGTGGTCCTGCCACCTCAGGCCTAGGGAGCTGTAATCCAGCCGCCTTCCTCTTTCCTGCAGTCTGCATTCTCACAGCTGCGGTTGACGCCCGGCCTGCGGAAGGTCCTCTTTGCCACGGCCCTAGGGACCGTGGCCTTGGCCCTGGCTGCCCACCAGCTGAAAAGGCGACGGAGGAGGAAGAAACAGGTCGGCCCTGAGGTGGGAGGCGAGCAGCTGGGCACGGTGCCCCTCCCCATCCTCATGGCCAGGAAGGTCCCGTCGGTGAAGAAAGGTAAGTGTGAGGTGGTGGGGACGGTCCCAGCTGGGCCACTGTGAACTATAGGCTCTTGAGCTAGTGACTTCCCATCTCAGAGCCAAGTTCCCCTCATCTGTGAGCGGGATCATAGCAGAGGCTCCTTCCAGGAGTCATCGTAAGGATCCGATGCTGGTGCGGCTGGATGCTCGTGCCTAGGCGGGTGCTGGTTCTGGGTGTTCTCATTGTGTAAGGCCCCTTTGGGAGCATGGGGGCCTGAGGGGGCTGGTGGGGCATAGCTCCTTGGTCCAGGAAGGGAAGTTCCCCCAGGCTCAGGAGCAGGAAGGGCCATATAGTTCTTTTTTTTTTTTTTCCTTTTTGTCTTTTTTCGTGTCCAGCAACAGATCGCAACCCTCAGTGTCACGCCCGCACCTCGCTCAGCCAGTGAGCGGGAACCGGTCTGTATGTGGGATCCGAACCCTCGGCAGGAGCGCTGCCGCACCTCCAAGCGGTGCACTGTAGCAGTGCACCACCAGGCCGGCCCAAGGGCCATACAGTTCTTGAACCATACAGTATTCCTCCCATCCCCTTCTTTTTAAAAAATTAAGGTTTAATTTTGCATGCAGTAAAATTCACTCTTTTTAGTGTACAATTCTATGAGCTTTGACACACATATAGTCATATAATCACCCCATAATCAAGAATTGTTCAGGGTTGGCCGGTTAGCTCAGTTGGTTAGAGTGTGGTATTATAACACCAAGGTCAGGGGTGTGGATCCCTGTACTGGCCAGCCACCCCCCCAAAAAAAAAGAAAAAAGAATTGTTCTGTATCCTCTAAATCCCCCCCGTCTCTTTGTAATTAGCCTCTGTCCCCTGCCTCCAGTCCTGGCAGCCACTGATCTGTTTTGTGGCTGCTGGTGTGGTTTTAGAAAACCCTTACAACCTGTGTTAATCTTGTAACACAGAAACCCAGTGTTTGCCACACCTTAATGTCATACTGATCTCTTTCCAAGGCAAGAAAGACTCCCATCTTAGGAAAAACCTGTTTTAAGAAGCAATAGTCTCTTCTGTGAAAGTGAATTTAATTGTGGATTATTGCAAAAGGGAAGTTTTATCTTTAAAACTGGGAAAAGAAGTCTTTAGACTGTAATAGAACAGGACCGTGAGAAACGCTGACGCAGCCGGGTTTCCTTTCTGCGTTGGCTCTCGGGAACCTGGAGCTGTCTGCACTGGCCTCTGGCTTGTTCCTCCACTGTCTCATTTCACCTTATTTTACCTCCCCTACTTTTCTCAAAATCTTTTGTGTATTGAAAAAAGTAGATGCCCACACTGGCCAGCTGCAAACAACAGCAGCAAGTTGTTGCCGTAAATCTTTTTTGGAAGAGGGAGAATTCGGTGACACAGGGTAGCTGTGCCAGGAGGTGGGAAGTAGCCGGACTTCATTCTCTGCTTATCCCTGCAGATAAGGGCCCCTCCTCTGGGCCCAGCCCTGTGCCGGGTGATAGAGATATGCCAGTTAGCAGAACAAGGAGGGGCCCGGTGCTCTTGTGCCCAGTGCACATACCCAGGGGGCTCTGCCGTCACCCTGACTTAAAAAGTCAGGACAGGTTCCCAGGTGGGAGAGCGGCCCATCTGATCCTTGCCCTCCTGTTCCTCACAGGCTACACCAGCCGGAGGGTACAGAGCCCCGGGAGCAAGAGCAATGACACCCTCAGCGGCATTTCCTCCATTGAGCCCAGCAAGCACTCAGGCTCCTCCCACAGCTTGGCCTCGGTGAGAAGCTGGGGGCAGGACGCCAGGCCAGGTGGGGGGCAACCAGGGTGGTGTCATTCATTCATTTACTCGTTCACTCACCCACCCACGCAGGCTTTCAGACGTTGTCACTGATCACTCACTGTGCCAGGCATGGGTGGGAGAAAAGTGGATAGGTGCACAGTAGAGAAGCTGACGGTGTCTTGGGGAAGGTGCTTATCTATGAAAGTGCACTCATTCATTTGTTCATCAGACACTGAGCAAGTACCTGTGTTGGGTCAGAGACTCTGCTTGGCGCTGGGGTATAGAGATAAATAAGACAAAGATGGTTTTCTCCTGGGGAATAGCTTTTGGTTCATTCACTCATCTAGATATTAATTCATTCAGCAAGCACCGAGCCCCAGCTCTGAGCCAGGTACTGCCTTGGGGACACGGGGGCAAGCAAGAGGTGGTTCTTGTGCTGGAGGAGCCCACAGCCTGGTAGGATGGGTGGCTACCCCTGTGGCTGAGAGGCAGGGTTGACCGCTGGGGCCAGCCTAATGGGTGCTCTCTGTCTTCCTTGTCTGGCTAGTCGGGGAGCCCCAGAACAGAGGATGGGTAATGCCAGTCAGGAATGTTGCTCTGGGTGGGGCCCCTAGGTGGCTGCTGCTTCCTGGCTGGGCGTTGGCCTCGGTATTTCCTCCTGCTTTGGCCACTGTCATGTCACTGCGAGGCATTGTCGGGGACTTGGAGTTTGTGGATCCAGGCTGTTTGGAGGGTGC